ACGTCCTGCTTTTAACATTGTACACGTACTCGTTGGTTTTAGAGAGGAATTATCTGATTCTATTTTCCTCGAGTTAAATAAAGACAACAGACCTGGTTTGCATTTGTTATTTATCAGCACGGAGAACAACGTGTTCTTTTAACCAATTTCAGAAGACCTGTATTTCCAGAAATACTTTCATCTTTTTTCCTTCTTTTTCTCGTTATTATTAACCATTACTACATGTTTCATGCGCTGAAGACCGTATGACCCATCGGTGGGTCATCGAGTGGCGCTCTCAATTGCGACGTGACCCACCAATGAGTCACTCTAGCATGATTGACAAAAAAAAATTGAATAGATGGCGCGACAACCGGTGGGTCACTGAGTAACTCTTATTTCCCAACGTGGCCCAATAATAGATCATTCCGACATCAAACGTCGGAAGTAGCGAACGTTTCCAATCCTGAACATCCTCGGAATTTCGAAAGATTTCCATTTGAACGATTCTGAACTCAGTTTCCCATCAAAATCGACGGTGATCTAATTTTCCTACGCTAAAAACTAGAAACCTTCGTTGAACTCCCTTCGAGCAACATTCTCTACACGTTGACCTCTTGCAGATCCTCAGCGAGCGTCGAGGAGAGCCACGGAGGACGTAGGGAAACGTATCAGCGGTCCAGATCGAGATCTAGAAGGTCCAAGGTGATTTAACGAGGAGGTATGCCAGCTCGACCTCCGAGCTCTACTTCCCGGTACGTGAGTCAGGATCGCAGGAATCGGCAGCCACCACGAGGATGAGCGCAAAGATATCTCTGGCTGGCCGTGGAGCGGCGCAGTCGCCGGTGAACCATCGTGGCAAAGCATCGTTGGGCCTGTTGCTCGCCGGGACGTCTGTGAAGAGACCGTCGTCGATGAGTAAGTCCACCTCGGTCCACGTGGCCTGTGTTTGTCAGTCGTTAAGCCGCGAAACCTGAACGACGTGTCGGACTATTTTTCAGATTTCATCTTGCTCTCGTCTTTCACCTTCTTTTTTTTTTTTCGTTTCCTTTCGACTTTTTTCCGATCCTGCTGGATCGAGACTGATTGTGCTGGTTACGTTGTGTCGCAGGCTACTTTTTTTTGGATTTAAGGCAGTGTATTTTCTGGTTTGGAGGATTTGACAGTGTTGAGTAAATTAGATGATCGTGGTAATATCGATCGATGTATAGTTTATTCAATAGTTGAATCAATTTGGGGATTTGTGGGGTAGTAATTAAATGCTGATTTTAAGTGTGTATCTTTTTAAATAGTTCTTTTGGAAGATAGTTTGATAGACTATCTTTAGGTATAGTAATTAATTGATGATTTTAAGTATCATATTTTTTAATAATTCTTTTGAAAAATAGTTTGATAGATCATCTTTTGGTATAGCAATTAAGTGATGATCTTGAGTGTGTATTCTTTTAAATAATTTTTTTGGAAGATAGTTTGATAGACTATCCTTTGGTATAGCAATTAAGTGATGATCTTAAGTGTGTATTCTTTTAAATAATTCTTTTGGAAGATAGTTTGATAGACTATCCTTTGGTATAGCAATTAAGTGATGATCTTGAGTGTGTATTCTTTTAAATAATTCTTTTGGAAGATAGTTTGATAGACTATCCTTTGGTATAGCAATTAAGTGATGATCTTGAGTGTGTATTCTTTTAAATAATTCTTTTGGAAGATAGTTTGATAGACTATCCTTTGGTATAGCAATTAAGTGATGATCTTGAGTGTGTATTCTTTTAAATAATTCTTTTGGAAGATAGTTTGATAGACTATCCTTTGGTATAGCAATTAAGTGATGATCTTGAGTGTGTATTCTTTTAAATAATTCTTTTGGAAGATAGTTTGATAGACTATCCTTTGGTATAGCAATTAAGTGATGATCTTGAGTGTGTATTCTTTTAAATAATTCTTTTGGAAGATAGTTTGATAGACTATCCTTTGGTATAGCAATTAAGTGATGATCTTGAGTGTGTATTCTTTTAAATAATTCTTTTGGAAGATAGTTTGATAGACTATCCTTTGGTATAGCAATTAAGTGATGATCTTGAGTGTGTATTCTTTTAAATAATTCTTTTGGAAGATAGTTTGATAGACTATCCTTTGGTATAGCAATTAAGTGATGATCTTGAGTGTGTATTCTTTTAAATAATTCTTTTGGAAGATAGTTTGATAGACTATCCTTTGGTATAGCAATTAAGTGATGATCTTGAGTGTGTATTCTTTTAAATAATTCTTTTGGAAGATAGTTTGATAGACTATCCTTTGGTATAGCAATTAAGTGATGATCTTGAGTGTGTATTCTTTTAAATAATTCTTTTGGAAGATAGTTTGATAGACTATCCTTTGGTATAGCAATTAAGTGATGATCTTGAGTGTGTATTCTTTTAAATAATTCTTTTGGAAGATAGTTTGATAGACTATCCTTTGGTATAGCAATTAAGTGATGATCTTGAGTGTGTATTCTTTTAAATAATTCTTTTGGAAGATAGTTTGATAGACTATCCTTTGGTATAGCAATTAAGTGATGATCTTGAGTGTGTATTCTTTTAAATAATTCTTTTGGAAGATAGTTTGATAGACTATCCTTTGGTATAGCAATTAAGTGATGATCTTGAGTGTGTATTCTTTTAAATAATTCTTTTGGAAGATAGTTTGATAGACTATCCTTTGGTATAGCAATTAAGTGATGATCTTGAGTGTGTATTCTTTTAAATAATTCTTTTGGAAGATAGTTTGATAGACTATCCTTTGGTATAGCAATTAAGTGATGATCTTGAGTGTGTATTCTTTTAAATAATTCTTTTGGAAGATAGTTTGATAGACTATCCTTTGGTATAGCAATTAAGTGATGATCTTGAGTGTGTATTCTTTTAAATAATTCTTTTGGAAGATAGTTTGATAGACTATCCTTTGGTATAGCAATTAAGTGATGATCTTGAGTGTGTATTCTTTTAAATAATTCTTTTGGAAGATAGTTTGATAGACTATCCTTTGGTATAGCAATTAAGTGATGATCTTGAGTGTGTATTCTTTTAAATAATTCTTTTGGAAGATAGTTTGATAGACTATCCTTTGGTATAGCAATTAAGTGATGATCTTGAGTGTGTATTCTTTTAAATAATTCTTTTGGAAGATAGTTTGATAGACTATCCTTTGGTATAGCAATTAAGTGATGATCTTGAGTGTGTATTCTTTTAAATAATTCTTTTGGAAGATAGTTTGATAGACTATCCTTTGGTATAGCAATTAAGTGATGATCTTGAGTGTGTATTCTTTTAAATAATTCTTTTGGAAGATAGTTTGATAGACTATCCTTTGGTATAGCAATTAAGTGATGATCTTGAGTGTGTATTCTTTTAAATAATTCTTTTGGAAGATAGTTTGATAGACTATCCTTTGGTATAGCAATTAAGTGATGATCTTGAGTGTGTATTCTTTTAAATAATTCTTTTGGAAGATAGTTTGATAGACTATCCTTTGGTATAGCAATTAAGTGATGATCTTGAGTGTGTATTCTTTTAAATAATTCTTTTGGAAGATAGTTTGATAGACTATCCTTTGGTATAGCAATTAAGTGATGATCTTGAGTGTGTATTCTTTTAAATAATTCTTTTGGAAGATAGTTTGATAGACTATCCTTTGGTATAGCAATTAAGTGATGATCTTGAGTGTGTATTCTTTTAAATAATTCTTTTGGAAGATAGTTTGATAGACTATCCTTTGGTATAGCAATTAAGTGATGATCTTGAGTGTGTATTCTTTTAAATAATTCTTTTGGAAGATAGTTTGATAGACTATCCTTTGGTATAGCAATTAAGTGATGATCTTGAGTGTGTATTCTTTTAAATAATTCTTTTGGAAGATAGTTTGATAGACTATCCTTTGGTATAGCAATTAAGTGATGATCTTGAGTGTGTATTCTTTTAAATAATTCTTTTGGAAGATAGTTTGATAGACTATCCTTTGGTATAGCAATTAAGTGATGATCTTGAGTGTGTATTCTTTTAAATAATTCTTTTGGAAGATAGTTTGATAGACTATCCTTTGGTATAGCAATTAAGTGATGATCTTGAGTGTGTATTCTTTTAAATAATTCTTTTGGAAGATAGTTTGATAGACTATCCTTTGGTATAGCAATTAAGTGATGATCTTGAGTGTGTATTCTTTTAAATAATTCTTTTGGAAGATAGTTTGATAGACTATCCTTTGGTATAGCAATTAAGTGATGATCTTGAGTGTGTATTCTTTTAAATAATTCTTTTGGAAGATAGTTTGATAGACTATCCTTTGGTATAGCAATTAAGTGATGATCTTGAGTGTGTATTCTTTTAAATAATTCTTTTGGAAGATAGTTTGATAGACTATCCTTTGGTATAGCAATTAAGTGATGATCTTGAGTGTGTATTCTTTTAAATAATTCTTTTGGAAGATAGTTTGATAGACTATCCTTTGGTATAGCAATTAAGTGATGATCTTGAGTGTGTATTCTTTTAAATAATTCTTTTGGAAGATAGTTTGATAGACTATCCTTTGGTATAGCAATTAAGTGATGATCTTGAGTGTGTATTCTTTTAAATAATTCTTTTGGAAGATAGTTTGATAGACTATCCTTTGGTATAGCAATTAAGTGATGATCTTGAGTGTGTATTCTTTTAAATAATTCTTTTGGAAGATAGTTTGATAGACTATCCTTTGGTATAGCAATTAAGTGATGATCTTGAGTGTGTATTCTTTTAAATAATTCTTTTGGAAGATAGTTTGATAGACTATCCTTTGGTATAGCAATTAAGTGATGATCTTGAGTGTGTATTCTTTTAAATAATTCTTTTGGAAGATAGTTTGATAGACTATCCTTTGGTATAGCAATTAAGTGATGATCTTGAGTGTGTATTCTTTTAAATAATTCTTTTGGAAGATAGTTTGATAGACTATCCTTTGGTATAGCAATTAAGTGATGATCTTGAGTGTGTATTCTTTTAAATAATTCTTTTGGAAGATAGTTTGATAGACTATCCTTTGGTATAGCAATTAAGTGATGATCTTGAGTGTGTATTCTTTTAAATAATTCTTTTGGAAGATAGTTTGATAGACTATCCTTTGGTATAGCAATTAAGTGATGATCTTGAGTGTGTATTCTTTTAAATAATTCTTTTGGAAGATAGTTTGATAGACTATCCTTTGGTATAGCAATTAAGTGATGATCTTGAGTGTGTATTCTTTTAAATAATTCTTTTGGAAGATAGTTTGATAGACTATCCTTTGGTATAGCAATTAAGTGATGATCTTGAGTGTGTATTCTTTTAAATAATTCTTTTGGAAGATAGTTTGATAGACTATCCTTTGGTATAGCAATTAAGTGATGATCTTGAGTGTGTATTCTTTTAAATAATTCTTTTGGAAGATAGTTTGATAGACTATCCTTTGGTATAGCAATTAAGTGATGATCTTGAGTGTGTATTCTTTTAAATAATTCTTTTGGAAGATAGTTTGATAGACTATCCTTTGGTATAGCAATTAAGTGATGATCTTGAGTGTGTATTCTTTTAAATAATTCTTTTGGAAGATAGTTTGATAGACTATCCTTTGGTATAGCAATTAAGTGATGATCTTGAGTGTGTATTCTTTTAAATAATTCTTTTGGAAGATAGTTTGATAGACTATCCTTTGGTATAGCAATTAAGTGATGATCTTGAGTGTGTATTCTTTTAAATAATTCTTTTGGAAGATAGTTTGATAGACTATCCTTTGGTATAGCAATTAAGTGATGATCTTGAGTGTGTATTCTTTTAAATAATTCTTTTGGAAGATAGTTTGATAGACTATCCTTTGGTATAGCAATTAAGTGATGATCTTGAGTGTGTATTCTTTTAAATAATTCTTTTGGA